ACGTGGGAGGAAAGAAGAAACAGAAAACCACCGTGAGAACAACACAGTCATCACTGTTCTGTGCAAGGTCCACAGACGGATGCTCAAATTAGTGGGCGAAACTTTAAGAAACAATAGGATGTTTACACAGCCTCAAAATATGTCCCACCAATATTTATTAATCAAGGTGGTAATTTTAACATATGTCCACAAATTCTTGACTGCTCCTCCCTCTGGGAGGGGAGCTTCCTTCCCCTGTCCTTCAGTATGAGCTGGACTAGGGACTCGCGTCTAACAAATCCAGTGTGGAAAAGGAAAACTAGTATCTTCACAGTCGGGAAACCTGGCTGACATCACCTTCACCACGTGATCAAGATTAACATCACCCGTGATGCGTCACAGCAGTATCATGCGACCCGGATACGCCGCCTCGAGAAGGACGCATTACTGCACTGTTCTCATCAGACGCAACCCCAGACTAATCATGAGAAAACATCAGACAAACCCAACATGAAGGACGTTTTGCGAAACACTCGACCAGCGTTCCTCACAACTCTTGAGCTCATGAAAAGTGAGGCAAGACTGGGAAACTATCACAGATGCAGGAGACTGAGGGATGTGACGACCAAGCACAGCCTGGTACCCTGGAGTGGATTCTGGAACAGAGGGAAGATGTCAGTCAAAACCTGTGGAAATCCAAATAGAGACTGGAGTTGAATCATGTCATGCCAAGGTTAATTTCTTAGTTCTGATCAATGTTCTGTGGTTATAGAGTATGTTACCATTGGGCGAACTAGGTGAAGGGTATAGAGGAACTCTCTGGACTATCTTCACACCTCTTCTGTAAATCTAAAATTATTTCAAAATAAAAAGTTTTTTAAAAACAGAGAAATCATACCCTGTTGTTCAGGGCCTTGCGAGGCTCCTTCCTCCAGGAAGCTCTCCCTGATCTCCCCTGTACATGGGGTTTCCTCTTCCTCCGGGCCCTCAAGCCTGACCCCGTCTGCCACTCACTGGGCCAAGCATGTAAGACCTGCAGGTTCAGCTTCTTGCCTGGGATCAGAGGAGCCTTCCAGAGGACACGGCGAGCTTCCAGACAGCAGGGCCTGACTCCCACATCTTGGAGATCGTCAGAGTCCATGCCTGCCATGGGAGGGTGGGACTGAGGGCCCCCTGGAGTGTCTAAGGGTTTCTCTGACAAGACCCCAGCTGGACAAACAGGTTTGGGCCCACCTGGGAGCTGTGGGTGGCATTAGGGGCGAGCACTGGGGGAAGCCCTTGTCCACAGAGCTGTCACCTCCCCTGGTTTATTCAGGGGGCTGGAGCAGGGGTCTCCTGGAGGAAAAAGGCCTGGGAACTTGGTCCCCACAGAGGATGAAGGACCAGCTCCACGGAAGCCAAACTGCAAGAAAGAGCAGCTGGGGGCTGGGCTCCCTGAGCGTGAGCTGACCACAAGGCAGAAGAGGGCGGGGGGAGACAGCTTGCTGGATCTGCCCACTGGACTCCCCTGGGCTCTTGGGGGGTTATCTGGGACCCCATCCTGTATTGTCCCCTCATCCACGGGGGCACCTGGGGAAGGAGGGCTGTAGGTGTGTGTACCCAGAGTGCTAAACCACCAAGAGCTGAGGCGCCTTTGCTGTGGGTCCCCTTTCCCCTCTGGTGCAAACCCTAGACAAATCAGAGTCCGTCTACACTGACGGCAGCAGAAGATGGTGGTTCTGTAGCTGCTGCATCTCAGCGGAGTGTCGGGTGCACTACAGCAGAGCCTGCAAGGCAGCAGCAGCCACAGAGGGTCCTTGCTTGGGCTCACCCTGGCGGAAAGCAGCAGGCGGGGTACCTCGAGTGGAGCAGCTCCTCCTTGTGGCCACGGATGGGGAGCCACAGCCCAGGACAGGTTGTTGTAGGCACCCGGGAGGCCCTGCTACAGGGGAACTCTTTGGGAGGACAGGTTACAGGTGGAGCAGTCTGGGGACAGAAGAGGGTCACGGAGAGGCTGACTCCCTCATGGCCCACCCCGGGCTGCTCCTCTTGCCCTCCCCACACCCCCCTGGAAGGTCTCCCCCAGCCCCGTGGCTTTGGTTATGACCCACAAATGCAGGTCTCCAGAGAGGCTCCTCCCCCTCTAGGTCCATTTATCCCCCTGGCCACTGGACACCTCCCCCTGCATATCCCAGGAGCACCTCCAGCTCACGAGTCCCAAACAGAACTCAACATCCCTCCTCAAACCTGTTCTTCCTGCTCCCATGCTCCCACTCCATGACTGGCTGCCAACATCCATTGTCATCCTTGGCTCTCCCTTGCCCTCATCCCCACATCCATCCCTGATCCTACGTCCTAAATCTATCACCAACACCACCGCCATCATCTCCCTAGTCCAAGCCAGGCCCAGGGGAAGTGCTCAGTGAATGTTTATGGAGTGGATGGATGGATGAATGGGTAGGTGAGCAGATGGATGGATGGATTGATCAATCAATGGGTAGGTGAGTGGATGGATGGATGGATGGATGGATGGATGGATGGATGGATGGATGGATGGGTCAATAGGTAGGTGACTGGATGGATGGTTGGATGGAAGGATGGATGGATGGAGGGATGGATGGATGGAAGGATGGAGGGATGGATGGATGGATGGGTGGATGGAGGGATGGATGGATGGATGGGTGGATGGAGGGATGGATGGATGGATGGGTGGATGGAGGGATGGATGGATGGAAGGATGGATGGATGGATGGATGGATGGATGGATGGATGGATGGAAGGATGGATGGATGGATGGATGGATGGATGATGGATGGATGGATGGATGAAATGGCAGAACTTTTGCAGCTTAGGGAGCTTTAAGACTAGAGTCATTACACCTGCCAGTGCTTTTCTTGGGCAACACCTGGACCCTTAGTTTGACACTGGCTGGGTCGAACATGCTGCTTCCAGGAAGAGCCCAGAGCTGAGGCCATCTTGAGGTGCTCTGTTTTGGAGAACCAGGCAGTAGAGGTATCTGAACATGATGGGGCACAGAACTGCCCTTGCCAACCACCTCTACGGTCCCCTCCCCCTGGGGAAGCTGGAGCAAGCCCAGGGATGTCAGTCGCTGCCACGTGGAAGGTCTTCAGCCTCTGAACTCTGTCCAGGACTCAGCACTCAGCCGGGAGGACACCACTCCTCCCCACGTGCCCCACACGACACAGAGACACACACAGGAAGAGGCACTGCGCGGACTTCTCTTTCTTTTTACAAAGACTTTATTGTCTGACATGCTTGACAAAAAAAATTACAGCCACAATCAAGTTATGCCAAAATGATTGAGGAGCACGCCATCATCTTTCATACCTCAAGGACTTTTAATGAATTTTCTCTTAAAGTAACAGCTGCCTTCATAACTTTTCTTTTCCACATAAAAATACACCATATTCTGAAGATACCTTAGGAAAAAATTTTTTTTAAGTTTATAGTTCTTGGTCCACATAGAAATTCAGTAGAGGCGACTGAAAGGGCCTTGTTTTCTCCAGCCCACGAGTGCACACACGCGTCCTGTGTCTGGGACAGCCCCAGAGACTGTAAACACCCCCGGCCACCAGGAACCACTTGAGCCAAACGAGATTCCTGAAGCGTGCACCCCCCAGAGCACAGCTGGCCTCGGCCAACGCCGTGCAGTTGCCAGGCTCCCCAGACACGACCCCTCGTCCCTCAGGGAGCCCCACTCAAGTAGGGAAGAAATCATGGTCTCCCAGGATGCCCGGATGCTGGCCTCAGAGAACAGGACCCCTCAGGGCTCCAGGGGCTCTCTGTGAGAAAGGAACCAGCTGGCTTCTAAATAGGACCCTTAACAGAAAAAAAAGAGCCTTGGACCATGCATTGCCCTGTAGGGGCAGAGCTCTGGGTGGTGGCAAAGCAAGGACTGTGAAGCCAGAGACGGAGGTTCAAATCCTGCCTCTGCCCTTTTTGTGCTGTGCAGCCTCAGGCAAGTTACCTCACCTCTCTGATCTCAATCTCCTCACCTCTAAAATGGGGCCAACAGTCCCCATCTTGCAAGACTGCCTGAGGATAAAAGGAGACAGTGTCTGCAGAGGGATCCTTAAATGCTGGTTCCCAGGGCTGGGACCAGGGTGAGGCAAGTGAGGTCCCTCCTCTCAGGCACACCATTTAAGGGGCTGCCAAAAAAATCAGCAATCAAGATAAATGATACTATTTTAACGTAATGTTTTTAATAATCAAAATTGATGCAGAAAAAAATCCATGATGAACAAAAGATCAAAATTTTAAATAAAGACAGAATCTAACCCTGCACGTGCCGAATGTGCCTCACCCTCACCAGGCCCTGCTGGTTCCCTCTCCCTCAGAGACTCAGCCCAAGCCCCCTAGTCCTAATTTAAAGGAGAAAAGTCCCCTGGGTGGAGCGGCTGGAGCCCAGGACCCACTCTGTCACTGTGCCACCCTCCCGTTAAGGGGCCAGCTGGTACTGGGGCAGGAGGACCAGGAACCACTCAGCCTTCCGCAGCTGTGGACGCGCCAGACAGAATCCCAATGGAGCGAGGAAATCGCACCGAGGAGCGGAACTCATTCGAGGACAGTAATAAGAAACACGGGGTCCCTTTCATTAAATTAAGAGGGGTGCGCGTGTGTGCACGCCCTCATGGGCGCAGACATGTGGCAGGGCTGCCTCGGCCTGCGACCCTCCGGGCTGTTGAGTTCTGCAGAGCAGTGCAGCCCCCATGGGACCAGGGGTCATCCACAACTTGGGAACCCTTCACCCAGTCCTGGGCACTCAACCCCCCAAATCCAGGCTCTGAGCCATCTGGGACGCTCAGGCCACCTCACTGTTCAAGTCAACGAAAACACTCACAGGAAGAAAACGGGGGAGCAACGGCCTGTCGGCCCGGCCAGGTGCAGTCCGAATTCCTGAGATGTCCCTGACCGCTCCCTCGGAGGCCCCCACCGCGAGGCAGGCCCTCTCCTCTCCAGCCCAGGAGGAGGGCAAGGGCTGTCTGCATCCAGCCTACAAAAACCTCCCACCCCCGCCCCCCAACCCTGGGCTTGCAGCCACAGAGACCGTTGGTTAGAGGGAGATTTTGTGCAAGAACTCCCCAAATCAGTCCAAGAGCAGGGCCTTCCCAAACCCACGAGAGTGTCCAACTGGAAGGATGAAGATTCAGTCTCTTCCCGAGCAGGACGGGGCCACCCGCTTGTCAGGTCCTCTAATGAGGCACACACGGAATGTACACGCAGAAAACAGTAATGAGCACAGAGCCCCTGACAGGGACCTGCAGGGTCCCAGCTCCAGGTGACAGAAGGCTGAAGAGTCAGAGGTGATCTTCTTCATTCCAAGGCCTCAACCCATCTGCTGGGCTGGTGCCCACAGCCGGATGGGTTGTCTGCATGGAAGGAAGGGTGGCTGGGGGTCCGTGCTCTCGGCCAGGCATATGGAGCTGCTGTGGGCGGGAAGGGCTGGGGCACAGGGGCAGTCAGGAGTTCCGGGGTGTGGGGAGATCGATGACTATGGGGGGATTCACGGGCTGGTAGTTCACGGTGCACACGGACGCGTTCACATAGGTGGTCGTCCCATCCGCCATGACACCATACCCTGGAAAGTAAGCACACACCCATTAGGGCTGAGGGGTAAGGCCAGGACCCCGAGCAGTGAGGCTGGTCTGGTGAGTGTGGTAGTCAGAGGGCCCTCAGCCACAATGGGCCAAATGTGTCTGGGGCGACCTACTGACACTCTTCGTCTATAAATAGAGATGATAATGATAGATGCTCCTCCCAAGCCTGCTGTGAGGATCAAATGAGATAATAATCCACATACAGTGTTCAGCCCAGTGCCTGGAAAGCACACAGTGAGACATCATCATTGACAGCTCATTATCACCATCACCATCAGCATCACCATCATCCCCGTTACCATCACTACCACCATGACCATCACCATCTTCATCACCATTATCGTCACCACCACCACCATCACTATCTTCATCATCACCACCACCACCATCACACACCACTGTCATCACCACCACTCTCACTATTATCCTATCATCACTATCACCATCATTATCATCATCACCACCACCATCATCTCCACCATCACCATCATCACTATCATCACCATCATCAGTATCATCATTGTCATTGTCATCATCACCATCATCATCACCATCACCATCTTCATCACCACCACCACCATCACTATCACTATCATCATCATCATCACTACCACCATCATTATCATCATCACCACTGTCATCATCACCATCATCACTGTCATCATCATCATCACCATCATCACTATCATCGTCATTGTCATCATCACCATCATTATCACCAGCAGCACCATCATTATTATCATCATATTACTTTCTTCTCTTAACCTCTGCCCCCATCATACCCTCTTCCCACCACGTCTCCTTATTAGAGTCCTCCTCATCCTTCAGCTCAGATCACCTCCAAACTAGAAGAGATACTTCCTCTCCTCTGTGCAGGTTACCCATTCTTTGGAGCCCCATTTTGCCTGTACAGTCAAGCAGGGGTGTGGTTGGGATCTGATGGCACTACCTGCCCCTAGTAGGGCCACAGAAAATGACAGCCATTATTATCGTCCCACAGCACACGAGTTGTCCATCGCTCCACGACCTCTCGGATTCTGCCTCTCATTGCTCATCTGCTGCCTGGAAGTCTATGAGCCCTTTGGGGCCAGGAGGGGTCTGATCACTCCTGCCCCGGACATACCCTGCAGAGGGAGAGGTCTGAGGCTTATTTGCTTCTGAGCTGGAAAATGATCTGATGCGGACCAGGCACGTGTGAGGCCCAGGGCCTGGCCCAACCCAGATGGGGTTCAGAAGGGCGGAGACAATGCTGGGGGAAAACACATCGGTGCCCATGCCCCATGGGAGCCAGTGTGCTTCCTGGTAGGAGGGATGGGATAGGGAGGCCTTGGGCAGGTAGGATAAAGGCTCAAAAGGAGCAAAAGGAGGGGTCAGCCAAACTGGTGAAATCAGGCTCCAGTGAGGAAGCCTGAGGTCGAATAAAGAGAGCCCTGTGTGCAGTGACAGGCCAGGGGTGGGGTGTGGGCAGTCAGGACTGGAGCTGACATCACCCGTCACCATCACGGCTGCCCTGCCCACTGTCCCGGGAGGTGAAGTGGACACCCCTCACCACTCCAACGATGTGGCCCCACCCCCAGGACAAGCCAAAGTGCTGTGTCTGTACGTGTGGGGGTGGGGTGGGGTGAGGTGCCCCTAGAGCCTCTCAGGCAGGCAGAGGCTCTCCACATTTATTAAGCACCTACTGTATGCCAGGCCGTAGGGATGTAAATGATAAGACTAGACCATCAGCCTTAAGGAACTCACAGTGTGCCTACCAAATCTAAGGCATCCTCCATGTCACACCCAAATGTCCCCTCCAAAAAGCCCCATGTCCATCTCCCGAAGACCTCCCAGGCTGGAGGCAGGGCAGAGTTGCAGGGCTGTGAGGCAGTAGGACTCACCCCTAAGTCTTGGCAGATTTTGCATCATCTTCCTATTACTAAACATTTCAGCAAGAGCTAATTGACAGCCAGTGTGTGGATAAGGCATTTACAAAGTGTACGTTAGAAATGGGCTCTTTCCCTCCAGCCGAGAGATCCGGGAGGAGGTGACTGGGTTAAAGGAAGGTGAGACAGCCCCTCTGAGGGGCCACTGAGGAGCCCCCCGCGGATGAGGGCCCCCTCCCCCACCCCACCCCTGCTGACCTTCGTGGATGTGACCGAAGACGTGCAGCCGCGGCTGGACACGCCTCTGCACCGTGTTGAGCAGCTCCACGCAGCCCACCCGCTGCATCTTCTTCGGGACCCAGTCTAGGAAGCCTGCGCGGGACAGACAATAAGAGTGCGATGACGGGGTCCAGGTGGGCCCGGCCCCCAGCCCCTCTGACCCCAGGTGGCAGCTTGTGCAGTCTTGGAGACACGGGGTCCGAGACTCACAGGCCTGGGCATAGCTCCCTACCGTTCCATGCCAGCAAGCTCTCCCCAACCCTGCCCGGCCTCAGCCTCCAGGGAGGGAGAGTTGGCTCTGCCCGCCACTACCGGGGACCCTGCAGCCTCTCCCTGTCCTCTGCAGGGCCACACAGGGAGCCACGCTTGTAAGAGCCCGGTGTGGGCCAGGCACATGGGGTGGGGGGTGCTGGACAACTGTGAGCCCCCCCAGATCATTCATGCTCAAAGTCGTCTCAAGGGGAGCATCTACCCATTGCAGAGATAAGCAAACCGAAGCCTGAGAGGGACCATTGAGGCCCAAGGGCACCCCAGTGGCCGGTGAGAGAGCGGAGCCTGGGAGCAAGATTTGTGTCAGAAACTCTCTAAACAAATATCATAAAATCATGAAAATGAACTTCATTCAATGCAGCATTGCTCATGTGGCCCACATCCGAGTCTGCTCACACGGCCAGCCTCCCGGAGCCGCCCATATGGCGGCTGCTTATTACCGTCACATGGCTACACAGACAGAGAATAACTGATCACTTCAAGCAAGCAATTAGGGTTCATGTCAGCCCCTCTCTGTTTGGGTGGGCAAAACAGCTTTCCACAACTGCTGGGGAGGGGAAGGAGATCCTTCGACTCAAAGAATCAGGCAGGCTGAAACAGACGTGGACTTAGAAATGAGAGAGAGAGAAAGGAGGAGGTGGAGGTGGAGGACAAGGAGGTGGAGGAGGTGGAGGAGGTGGAGGACGAGGAGGTGGAGGAGGTGGAGGAGATGGAGG